TGGTGCTATCCTGGTATTTCAGGGCGTCTAAACGTGATAGGCATGGGAAGTGATATGGGGAAAAGTACGCACCTTCAGGCTTTTAAAGTGGTCAATGGATTTCCAGGCTCCTGTTGGCTAGGCTCCTAAAAAGTTTCTTACATGTAGTATCTCCATCCTCGGTAGAAGTAGCCAGAATGTATTTTGGGGTGAACTTCCACATATAACCCATGGCAATGTGTGATCAATAAATAGCATTTAAGTGACAACTATGTGTACAAAAATAAAAACTTTTTTTTCTGAGTCATTTTCCAAATTACTCTTATGGTATAAAAAATATAGTTGTTTCCATTGCTTCATAGTGAGTGTTATCGTGGAAATTTTAGAGCCTCTGATACCATTCATAGTGAGGAAGTGGAGTATATGAGGAATTTTTCAAGGGGGTCCATTGGATTTCAGGCGCCTTTATGGTGGGCGATATAGGCTCCCAACAAGTCGCTCACATGTGGTATCCCCCATAACTTAAGAGAAGTAAGGCAGAGTATAGTTTTGGGGTGTAATTCCCACATATTACACCAGGTCATTGTGTGAGAAATGTACCATTTAAATGACAACTTTGTTTAAAAAGAAAAAAAAATTTCCAAAAACTGTGTGAAAAAATATAAATCTTCAATGGACTCAACATGCCTCTCTCAGCAGATAGCTTAGGGCAGGGGTGGGCAAACTTTTTGACTTGAGGGCCGCAATGGGTTTTCATATATTGGACCCGGGGGCCGGACCAAGAGTAGAATGAATGATGTGTATGTGTCATCCATAGTAAGTATAAGTAATATTCCCCCATAGTAAGCATAGTAATTAATCCCCCATATAGTAATTCATCCCCCATAGCAAATTCGTCCCCCATATAGCAATTCGTCCCCCATATAGCAATTCGTCCCCCATATAGCAATTCATCCCCCACATAGCAATTCATCCCCCACATAGCAATTCATCCCCCACATAGCAATTCATCCCCCACATAGCAATTCATCCCCCCACATAGTAATTCATCCCCCACATAGTAATTCATCCCCCACATAGTAATTCATCCCCCACATAGTAATTCATCCCCCATATAGTAATTCATCCCCCATATAGTAGTAAGTCCCCCATAGTAAGTCCCCCATATAGTAATTCATTCCCCATATAGTAAGTCCCCCATATAGTAATTCATTCCCCATATAGTAAGTCCCCCTATAGTAATTCATTCCCCATATAGTAAGTCCCCCATATAGTAATTTCATTCCCCATAAAGTAAGTCCCCCATATAGTAATTCATTCCCCATATAGTAAGTCCCCATATAGTAATTCATTCCCCATATAGTAAGTCCCCCATATAGTAATTCATTCCCATATAGTAAGTCCCCCCTATAGTAATTCATTCCCCATATAGTAAGTCCTCCATATAGTAATTCATTCCCCATATAGTAAGTCCCCCATATAGTAATTCATTCCCCATATAGTAAGTCCCCCTATAGTAATTCATTCCCCATATAGTAAGACCCCATATAGTAATTCATCCCCCATATAGTAAGTCCCCCATATAGTAATTCATCCCCCATATAGTAAGTCCCCCATATAGTAATTCATTCCCCATATAGTAAGTCCCCCATATAGTAAGTCCCCCATATATAGTAAGTCCCCCCTGTGTCAATTCACTTACCTTTGCTCCTCCGCGCGTTCCTCTCGTATTCCCGCGCCGTTCTGGTCTTCAGGGAGGACTGTGAGAGAAGAGTTCGTCATGCTGCCCCGCCTACATCCTGGCTGCCCCGCCTACATCCTGACAGCTGCAGAGTCCTGACGCCCGAGAGGAGGGAGGGGGCGGCCATCCGAGAGGGGGGGCGGCCATCCGAGAGGAGGGGAGGGGAGAGGAGGAGAGGAGGTCGCCCGCCCGCCCGAGAGGAGGGAGGGGAGCGGGCGCCCGGCACACAGGAGAGCCGCATCTATTGTAAAGAGCCGCGGCTTGCCGACCACTGGCCTTGCGGGAGCCTAGCTCCGCGGGCCGGATTAAAAGGGTCCGCCGGGGCCGTATACGGCCCGCGGGCCGTAGTTTGCCCATTGCTGGCTTAGGGTGTCTACTTTCCGAAAAGGGGTCATTTGAGTGTGTTTGTACTGCCCTGGCATTTTAGCTCCTCAAGAAATGTGATGGGCAGTCAGAAAGTAAAAGCTGTGTAAATTTCAGTATCTATACCATAGTTTGTAGATGCTATAACTTTCACACAAAGCAATCAATGTACACTTACTGGGATTTTTTTTATACCAAAGACATAGCAAAATGCATTTTGGCCTAAATTTATCACAAAATTTGAGTTTTGGTGGATATTTTCAGTAATGGAAATGAGAAAATTTGGTTTTTTTTTTCAAAAGTTTTGGTCTTTTTTTGTTTACAGTGCAAAAAAACAAAAACAAAACACAGAGGTGATTAAAATACCACCAAAAGAAAGCTCTATTTGTGTGAAAAAAAAAGACACATTTTGTTTGGGTACAATATTGCATGACCGCACAATTACCAGTTGAAATAATGCAGCGCCAAATGGCAAAAAATAGCCTGGTCAGATATTGGGTAAGCGGTTAACCGCTTGCCTGCCGCCCTATAGTAGAAGTACTGCTACCGGGCTGCACAAAATCACGTTTAGATACGTGATGTGCATTTCCGGGTAGAGGTTACGCGAGCGCCGCCCTACCTGCGCCCGCACAGCAGAGAAATACAAAGCAGCATGTCTTTTGTAATAAGTATGAACAGGAGCCAGGCGCTGTGTAGTGTTGTGATAAAAGTAATACACCTTATATGGAAGTGTGCCTTAATAATTCATATGGTAAAAAAAAAAATAACCAGCCTGTGGCTTTAAGAAGCCAGGCTTCCATATAAGGTGTATTACTTTTATCACAAAACTACACAGCGCCTGGCTCCTGTTCATACTTTCCACAAACCGATGTGTTTTTACCATGGCAGCAGTGAGTTTTTTTCCCCACCAATCACAGTTGACATATACCATTCACTTATTTCCTTTGGGACACATCTGTGCGCTTTTATCCAGACCTGTCTTTGTAATAAAACAGCACACAGTTAACCCTTTTTATTGCCCAAAGTTAATCCCTTCCTGCCCAGTGTCATTAGTAGTGTCAGTGCTTTTTATTAGCAGTGATCACTGGGGATATCAGTGGCAGTTAGTTCCCCCCAGTGTCAGAATGCCCACCGCAGTCCCTCTATAAGTTGCTGATCGCTGTCGTTACTAGTACAAATGAAAATTCCAGTACATATACTGCCATTTGTAGACACTATAAACCAGTTAATTTACATGTATTTCTAGCACAATACATTTTGGCCTAAATATATGAGGAAATTTGTTTTGTTTACATTTGTTTAAATTAGTGTTTTACAGCAAAAAGTATTTTTTTTTAACTTTCAGAATTGTCTGTCTTTTTTGTTTATAGTGCAAAAAATTAAAAAAAATGTACAGGCAATCAAATACCACTCTATTTATGGAGGGAAAAATGACATACATTTCATTTGGGTGCAGTGTTTCATGACCGTGCAATTGTCAGTTAAAGTAACACAGCACCAAAATGTCCTGGTCATGAAGGTGGAGGGGATCCTTAGGAGGGTAAGTGTTGTGTGAGTCTGAGTGTGATGGAGCCATGTCCCAGACCTGCACTACTACAGGAATAAAGAGGCTGCAAGGTCATCCTGCAATCATCTGCTTCTTCCCATGTTTATCTATTACTGCTTCTACAGATCAGGGGGTTGGCTGTGCACACAGGAGATCGATCCTATGAAAGATCAGTACATACACATTGACATTCTGTCCCATCACCCAATGATTGCAGACCACAGCTCCCCCTCCAACCACCGGGAACATCCATCCGGTGTAGCTGTGGCAAGATAAATATCCCATGAAAATCTGTATCCCCTGAAGCAACTGCACATGTGCAGGTTTAAGGCACACCAAGTCTTCGGGGGGATACCGATTTACATGGGATACTCATCTTGCCGCTACACCGGCCTATTGATTCCTCTCTCTAGATCCACCCTCACTGAATGTCAGAGTTCATCAGCTGCATGGGGGCGGTCCCAATAACTACTCCACCCCAATTACCTCACCGATCATCATTCATATATATATATATATATAGTAATATAAAAGATACACAGTACCTGCCCCCTGCTCCGCGATCTCCTCCTTCATTCGCTCAGAGATGAAATGAGATAAAATGCTTGCCCAGGCTTCACAGTCCATTGGTCCGTCGATCTGCCACACTGCAGCACCGAATCGATGTTGATCCCAGGAGCGCCAGCTCCAGACTGAGCAGCGGTACTGGGGTTGCTTGCTAGGCGATTCGTGTGTGTCCCCTCCCACTTCTGGCTCACAGGCCCCTCCCACGTCTGGCTCACAGGCCCCTCCCACTTCTGGCTCACAGGCCCCTCCCACTTCTTGTCTATAGGCTCCTCCCACTTCTGGCCCAAAGGCTCCTCCCACTTCCTGTCCACAGTCTCCTCTTTCCAATAGAGTCTGGCTGCAGAATGGAGCTCCATTTTTAATAGGAAACACATGACTTCCACTCCCCTTTTTTTTGCTAGTGAACTTTAATGCAACAAACGAGCAGAGGATGTAGAGTGGAGCTCCACTCAGCAGGAAACATGTGACCTTCACTCCAAATGTTTTAAAGTTCATTAACAAAAACAAATGGTGGAATGGAGGTCACATGTTTCCTGTTGAAAGTGGAGCTCCGGTCTTCAGCCAGTCTTTCCAATGAAAATCTTTTTCTGGGAAGAATGTGGCCAATGAGGAGGTGGACAGCTGTGACCCGGAAGTGTTGGCTGTGTGCTCCATGCGGTGACAGAGGCAGTGATGGTGGGGAGATGAATCTGTTACCGAAGAGCAGTAAGCAGTTCTCCTCCAGCGAGTACTGGGAGCAGTTCTTCCGGCGCAGGGGGGCGCGGGCCTTCCAGTGGTATGGAGGATACTTGGAGCTGTGTGGGGTGCTGCACGTATTGAATGTATTTATTCAACCCAAAGACAAGGTGTGTACATGGACTGCTGGCTGCCTTCCCTTCTCTCACTCCCTCCTGTGAGCTCTGGATTAGGGCTCCAGCACAGAACCCTGTGTTCAGTTTCATATGGATCTGAATGCAGTAGCACTCCAAGGCCTGGCCTCCTTCACATAGTGTTCAAGGCTCCATTCACCCTTGTGCGACTTGGGGAAAAAATAAACTTGACAAAAGTCACATGACAAGTTGCAACCCATGTATTTCAATGGAAGCTGTTCAAATCCATGCAACGAAAGTCACAGCGACTTTAAAAAGGTTCCTGTGCTACTTATGTGACTTTCATGCGACTGGAGTGATATAGACTGCAATGTAAACTCTCAAAAGTTGCATGAAAGTCGCATCTTAACCACTTGATTTACCCCCCATTCCTGACCAGGCCATTTTTCGCAATACAGAGCTGTTTCTTTAATTGACAATTGCGCGGTCATGCAATGCTGCACCCAAATGATATTTACGTCCTTTTTTTTTCTCTCACAAATAGAGATCTCTTTTGGTGGTATTTGATCGCCTGTGCGGTTTTTATTTTTTGCGTATGAACAAAAAAAAATCATCAATTTTGAAAAAAAAAAATAAACTATACTTTTGACTTTTTGCTATTAAACATCTCCAGTAAATAATCAAATTTTTACATAAATTTAGGCCAAAATGTATTCTGCTCCATGTCTTTGCTAAAAAAAAAAATCCCAATAAATGTAAACTAATTGACTTACGTCAAAGTTAAAGTATTTACAATATGCATGTAAATATGCTAGAATTTTTTCTTTTTTTTTTTTTTTACTAGTAATGGCGATCAGCAACTTATAGCAGGAATGCGGCGGGCATTCTGACGCTGGGGGGGAGGGGAGACTGACTGACTTTGTGTCACTGACATCCCCAGTGACACCAATACAGTGATCAGTGCTAATAAAAAGCACTGATGCTGTAGTAATGGCACTGGGCAGGAAGGGGTTAACATGAGGGGCGATCAAAGGGTTAACTGTGTGCTGCTTTACTGTGTGTTGTGTGTGTGCTTTACACTGTAAGTGCACTGCTTTGTATGGCTCTGGATGAACCCATCTCCTATCTCCACTGTTAACTAGAAAAAACGCATTGACTCCTGCGGCTTTTCTCTGGGTAAATGCACCTATGATGCTTTAGAAGTTCTCTGCGGACCATGGCTTTTGCTGTAGGATGTGACTAAGAAAATGTCAGGAAAGACCACCTAGAACAGCTGAACTTTATTTGGGGTTAATCAGAGGCACTTTAAATGATGGCAGGTGTGTACTGACTCCTGATTTTGAATGTGATTGCTTAATTCTGAACACAGCTACATCCCCAATTATAAAGAGGGTGTGCACACTTATGCAACCACATTTTTCGTTTTTTTTTATGTCTACTTCCCCCCCTAAAAGATTTCAGTTTGTTTTTCAATTGAGTTGTACAGTTTATAGGTCACATTAAAGGTTTAAAAAGTTCTGAAATGATTTATCTTTGTCTCATTTTTTTACATCACAGAAACCTGAGATTTTAACAGGGGTGTGTAGACTTTTTTTTATATCCACTGTACTGTTGTATTCAGAAATTTGGATACATCAGAATTTCAGAATAATGAAAAATTCATCCAAATTTCAAGACCCATTGCTGATAGCTTTTTTTTAACCTAATGTTCTTGAACCAAAAAAATATTAGCTCTTGATAAACAAGCTCCTTTACATAATATTGGTACAGTACAGAGGAATGGAATTGGTCCTGATGAGATCTTAAATTACTTAATTTGATGTTAACTGACACCTTTAGGTTGCAAATGATTCAGCCCTGACGAAATTCACCCTTGGCACTTCTGGCCATGTAATTTCTGTGTATATACACTTACAATCATTTCTGTGGTCATCACCATAATCTGGAAGTACATGTGAGTCCACAAATGATGGCCAAAAACATTAAAGGAAAAATGTGTATAGGATCAAGTTGCCTAAGATCAAATCTCCACCTTGGCTGGTTTATCTGATCTTAAGATGGACATAGAAAGGCAATCACTCAACAGTGATGGGAGATGAGATATGAATATTTTTAGCAATATGTGGGCTGGCTGCACCATTGTAGAGTATGGGCTCCTGCATGTGGGTGCCTGAGCCCATTCAATGTAACTTCCGGCCTTTCCTCCCCCCCACCTCTTCACTTTGGCAGGCCAAAATGCTGTGTACAGCTCCCCATACACATGAAATGGCTGTACTCTGGGTATATGGAAAACTGACCATTACACCTATATGAGCTTCTGGGAAATTCAAAAATAATGGGCAATAATATTGCATTGTCTTCTTTTTGTGGTTATAATGGCCTCCACTCTGGGCATGATTTACACAATGTTTCTGTTGGAAATAGTATTTGCAAGGTCAGGTGCTGATAATGAAATGGAAAAATTGACTTGCAATCAGTGTTCCAATTCATCCCAAAGGTATTTGATGGAGTTGAGTTTAGGGCTTTGTGCAGGACACTTGAGTACCTCCATATTTATGCACAGGGGTACAGACATGCTAGAGCAGAAAAAGCACTTCCCTAAACTGATGCCAAATGGTTAAAAGAGCAAAATTCTTTCTCTTCTCATGGATGTGTTGAATGCTAAAGATGCTGACAAAAGCTGAGGGCTGGAATGGAGAGAAGGTAGGAGACAAGGACCACCACAGAGGTAAGTATAATATCTCTTCTATTGTAGGGGCCTTTCATCTGTATTTATTGTTAACCAGACAAGGTTGATCTTAAAGAACATATTCAGCTACTTGTTTGGAGCTTTACTTTGACTACTACAGACCATCATTTACAGTTGCAAGAAAAAGTATGTGAACCCCTTGGGATTACGTGGAGTTTTGCATGAATTGGGCATAAAATGTGCTCTGAACGTCATCTAAGTCACAACAATAGAAGAACACAGTCTGCTGAACATAATACTACATGGTTTAATTGCACATAAAATGTAAACATTCACAGTGCAAGGAGGAAAAAGTATGTGAACCTTTGGACTTAATAACTGGTTGAAACCAGAAGATGCCCTGGAACATTGTCATCCTGCTGGGAGGAGGATTTGCTCTAGCTAAGGGCAGCGAGGTAAGACATAGTTTTGCCTTAAAGTGTAAGGTTACATAATACCACACAAAAAATTGTTAATATATCATAGAAAAAAAATACTTTGGAATACAGAGTCTGTTCTGTCACTTCTCCAGTCATGAACTTGCCCTTAAAACACACATGAAATGCCTCTCTTTAAGAGTTTTAAGAAAGGCTGTGTGATATCATACTACACAGGTAATATACTTACAGATAATATATCCACCTAGCTTGGATGTCAAACATGCTTGGAATGAGACACAGATGGGCTACTCTTATGGTAAACTAAAACTGCACCTATCTCTACTATCTTGCTGCTTTATGTTGGAATAAAGGGTCAATATCCTATTTTTTCTTCTCATATAGGAATCGGGATTGTCGAGTTGGCTTGGAGATAAGCTCACTCCTTTGCAGAGTATTCCCCCAGCTGCGATCGCTCTAGTCTTGTGTCTGCTGGTTGCTATATTCACAGAATGTACCAGTAATGTAGCGACGACTACACTGTTCCTACCAATCCTGGCATCTATGGTAAGAAACAGTCAAATATCAGATGACCAGCATAAGTTCCATCATTGGAGGGACATCATGGTTTCCTTTTATTTAGTTTCAAAATAATGTATACAGTAGTATTTTCCAAAGAAGTGTCTGCCATTGAGTAGATAAGAGGCCTACACTAATGATATGCTTACCTGCCACTTTATTAGGTACATCTTGCTAGGACCGGGTTGGACATCATTTTGCCTTTAGAACTGCGTTAATTCTTGAATTCTTCGTGGCACAGATTCAATATTCCTCGGAGATTTTGATCCATATTGACATGAGTTACTGTTGTCTTTCTATCATCTCGAACCAGTCTGCCCATTCTCTCTTCTGACATCAACAAGGCATTTTCATCCACACTACTGCCACTCACTGGATATTTTCTCTTTTTCGGTCCATTCTCTGTAAACCCTAGAGACAGTTGTGCATGAAAATCCCAGTAGATCAGCAGTTTTTGAAATACTCAGACCAGCACGTCTGGCACCAACAACCATGCCATATTCAAACTCACTTAAATTCCCTTTCTTCCCCATTCTGATGCTCATTTGAACTTCAGCAAGTTGTCTTCACCACGTCTACTTGCCTAAATGCATTGAGTTGCTGCCATGTGATTGGCTGATTGGCAATTTGTGTTACCTAGCAATTGAGCAGGTGTACCTAGTAAAGTGGCCTGTGAGTGCATATCCAATAATGCTGCTGCAGAAATAAATAAAAAGAAATTTCCTATTGAGAAATCAGGCTGATAGGTGGGTGGGGCTTAACTATGAAGGTACGTGGGGCTTCTGTAGCAATGTAAAAATAATATTAATGTTTTTTTTTCCCATAGGAAGGTTTTCTGAGAGCCATAATAGAAAGCAGCTTGGTTTGCCTGTACTTACAGGCAGCATTTATAGTTTTCAGTCTTTAATTCTGGAGTGGAGGGTGAGCTCACTTTAACTGCTGAGATAATCAGACACACTGGTATTGTTTTCAATGGGTCAACAAACTTAGCTATTTACGTATATAGTTATAAATGACACATTGATAGGATGTGTTACATTACATTGATCTGCTTACATTAAGCCAACATGGTTTACATGTGTATATGAAAAATGTAAGGGCTATACATTCACTTTAACATAGTACCTTCTTAATAGACCATTATCCAGAGTTCTAACCAAAAGCTTTAACTGACTCAGCCACGCATTTCTAAAGATATAAACAGAAGAAATGCAGCGCTCTTAAAATTGATAATGGAATTAGTAGTAAACACAGTCCGGTAAAACAACAGTGTTCCTTGTTTTGTGTAAATGGTAGCACTAACCAGAACGCGCATGGAGAATGCGCATATGTGTATAAATCCTGAAGATCCTTTTCTCCACTTAAGGCTGGTCAGGCATTATAGAAGAATAGAGATCCTACGCCCTCATGTGGTGGGAAATGATCCAGCAGGTCAAAGCTATGACGATCCAGATGAGCCTCCACAAAGAACTGGCACAGGAATCCCAAGGGCTACAAGGATGCAAAGCCAGAACTTCAGAAGGCATCTGTTAGTGAATGGGTTCCTTTCTCATCTAAGGGAGTGCTCCTGATTGTAAGAGCTTTTCCATCCTTGTAGCCCTTGGGATTCCTGTGCCAGTTCTTTGTGGAGGCTCATCTGGATCGTCATAGCTTTGACCTGCTGGATCATTTCCCACCACATGAGGGCGTAGGATCTCTATTCTTCTAAGCCATATGCCTGACCAGCCTTAAGTGGAGAAAAAGGATCTTCAGGATTTATACACATTCTTAAGTGCAAAATTCTACCATTTACACTGGGAAACAAGGAACACTGTTGTTTTACCGAGTGTTTACTCTAATTCCAAAATTTTAAGAGCGCTGCATTTCTTCTGTTTATTAACTTTTTATGTGTTTTCCTATATGTTCAGCTGCTTGCATTATTTATGAGCGCTTACTATTTATCACCACTATTCCCATTTCTAAAGATATAACACAACCGAGCAGACAAGAAATCATTATTGTGCAGATTATGTAAGTCAGATTGGTTGTTAACAGAGATTCGAATATAATGATACGTAAACACTCATAATCCCATATCTATTTTCTTCGCTTTCTCAGTAGACTGCATTCATTGTTAATAAAACTGATATTTACGTATGCAGACAGACAGCTTGATAGAAAAAAATTCACGAGTCTCTCAAAATGATAGTAAACATCAGACACGAAAATCAAACAAAGTATATCCCTCTATAGTGTGTACTTGTCTCAATGCAGCACATTTCTCGCTGCTGCCGCATTCATCTGCTATCGAACCTCTGATTTTCATGACACCAAGAGGAAAATGGTGACAGGGGAGGGCATCTCCTTTGACTTTCCTAGGGAAAGGGGGGGGGGGGGGGGGGCACATTCTCCCTGAGTAAGTGAAATAGGCAGCCACCTAGGGCACAGCCATGGCCATTGGTTTCAGTACTCTCCGCCCGCCATGGCCGGATTTAGGGGGATGCTGGGGTGGGCTATGCCCCCCCTAGATTTCAGTTGTGCCCCCCAGGCTGGTCTTTCCATGGACTCTATGCCTGGCCGCTGAGTGCCTTCCTCCATCTCCGCACTCACTGGGACAAGGGGAGAGCAGCCTGGATGAGTGAAGCATGCAAAGGAGAAATGACAGGAAAGAGCTGGGAAGTGCAGGGCTGTGCTCTTCTCTCCTGTCAGTGGAGCAATCCTCCATAAAGAAGACATTGGAGGTTATAGGGGGTGGAGTGATCAAACTGTGTACAGCCCAATCCAAGAGCGATCCTGTGTCCTATTTGTGCAGGAGGGAGAAAGAGAACTATTTGTGCAGAGTGGGGAATGGAGATTATGGGGGGGGGAAATTGTGCTAGGAGAAGGAACGGGGAATATGTGCTAGGAGTAGGATGGAGGTTTGGGGGGACTGGAAGGGGTTGGGGTGGATTTGTGCTAAAGGGGGGGGGGGAGGATTTGGTTAAGGTAGGAGGATTTTTTATTGGGAAGGGTAATTTGGAGAGGTTTTAGCTAGAGGAGGGATTTGGGGGAATTTGTCCTAAGTGGGTGGATTGATGGAAGGGGATTGGTGCTGGGGAGGGGGATGGGGGGGTTGTGCTAGGAGGGGGAATTGGTGGGGGGATTTGTGCTAAGACAGGGGATTGATGAGATCTTTGTTAGGAGAGTGGATTGGGGGGGTTGTGTTTGAAGGGGGGATTTGGGGAGATTTTTGTTAGGAGGGGGGATTGGGTGAATTTGTACTAGGGGAGGGGATTGGGTGAATTTGTACTAGGGGAGGGGATTGGGTGAATTTGTACTAGGGGAGGGGATTGGGGGGGTTGTGCTAGAAGGGATGATTGGAAAGGGATTTGTGCTAGGAGTGGGAAGAGGAGGGGTTGTGCTACAAAGGGGGATTTGTGCCAGGAGGGGTTTTGGGGGGGGATTGTGCTAGTTGGGAGTAGGGGGATTTGGGTGGGGGAGAAGGATTTGTGCTGAGAAGGGTAATTTGGAAGGGGTTGTGCTAGGAGGAGGGATATAGGGGGATTTGTGCTAGGAGGTGGGATTGGGGGGGATTTACGCTAGGAGGAAGATATGTGCTAGTAGGGGTGCAAGCAGCTGGTCTTGCCTAGGGAGCAAATAGTCCAGCACCAGCCCTGCCTGCATGAACATATAGTTTATTATACTTTTTAATATAAAAGCTTTTAAACTTTCAACTATTTTTTGTTGCAATCTGCTAGGGACAGCTGCACAGATTATTATTAGAGATAAAATAGCAAATGTCTAATCAGCAATGACTGACAGTCAAATATGTGGGACTGACTGCAAGTTTATCATTAGACATGTGCAGAATGAAAAAATATGTTAAGTTTTAAGTTTGTTTGTTAAAGAATAAGTTCACCTTTCAACAAAAAAATAATAAATTCACTTTTTTTGTAGGTAAAAAAAATGTACATTTAATTTTTTTTTTGTTGTAGGAAGCTGTAAAGCATTGTACCAATGATCAGCAGATCACTGACACCATGCAGGTCTCCTGCAGATCTGTCAGTCTATCTGCTTCTTCGTACCTCATACTTACTGACTGACAGGAAGACTCAATGAACTACCAAAGCCACACAGTGCCATGGAGAACTACAAGCCGACAGCCGCTAAGACAGAACACTGAATGAGTGACGCAGCTGGGCCAGCTGTCACAACGGGGGGAAGTCTGTTTATAACATGTTACATGTTGCACTTTGAATATGGGTGTAACAAGTAACACGTTACGAAAGGTGAACTTATCCTTTAAGTTACTAATTTTGTTAAGTTTAATTTGTAATGAATTTTCTATTCTTTTATATTCTGTTGTGTGTTTTAGTCTGTTTTTTCAAAATCTGAATTTAGGAAGATAGCTATATTCTATTTTATTCTACTCAAAATTCGAATTTCGAAATTCAAATTTTGGAACATGGCAATATTCTTTCTATATTTTATTTTACTCTTTTCTAATCTAGTCTACTTTTCTATTCTATTTGATTTGATTCTATTCTATTCTCTATTCTGTGTTAATCTATTCTATGCTTTTATTCTATTTTAGTTTCTATTCTATTCAGTTTAATTCTGTTCTATTTTCTTTTATTCTGTTTTTGAAATTCGAATTTCGAAAGACAACTATATATTTTTTTTCAGAAAAAAGCTATATTCTTTCTATTCTATTCTTTCATTTTCGTTTCTATTCTGTTTTATTATATTCTATTCTGTTTTATTCTATTCTTTTCAATTCTAGTTCATTCTATTTTGAAATTCGAATTTCAGAAAACAGCTATATTCTTTCTATTCTATTTTTTTTTCTATTCTATTGTAATCTTTGTTTTTCTATTCTATTCTTTTCTATTCCTTTATTTTCTGTTATATTGTAATCTTTAATTTATATTCTATTGTTACTCTAATCTTTTCGAAATTCGAATTTGGGAAGATGGCTATATTCTAACACTAATATACACAGTCTTTGAAGGAAATCAGCATGAGTCAGC